ATGCGGGGGACACGGGTTCGTGCCCCGGTCCGGGAGGATCCCACATGCCGCGGAGCAGCTGGGCCCGTGAGCCATGGCCGCTGAGCCTGCGCGTCCGGAGCCTGTGCTCCGCGGCGGGAGAGGCCACAACAGTGAGAGGCCCGCGTACCGCAAAAAAAAAAAAAAAAGTGCCTTCAAAGAAGAAGGCACAGTTGGGAGCAGCGGTGCGAGAGAGGAGGCGCGTCCTCGAGCAGGGCCAGGGGGGTCCGAGCGCAGGGCGAGGGGGACGGCGGACGAGGGTGAGCACGGAGTGCAGAGGCAAAGCCAGGGCCCGGCGCCTCACGCAGGTCCTGGGACACAGTCAGTGCTTTGCACACAGACGGAGACTGGTCACGTTCCCGAACATGAGCTTCAGGCATCTCAGCGTAGGCAGCCCCGCCACCGGGGGCACTCGTGTGCGCTAGCTGTGAGGCTGACACCTGCCCGGGCTGGGAAGGGCCCGGAGGAGGAAGAACACGGGCGGGCGGCAGCGGAGTCAGGCGTGGTCTGGCCCGGCAGTAACGCGGCGTGAAGAGCCGTGGGCTTAGGGGGCCGGAGGGTAGGAGTCGCAGGGCTCCTCCCGCGCGCGCCGTAATGAGGGCGCGGCGCCTGGGGTTGGGGGGTGGCGCTGGGTAGAGGCCAGAGGTGCTCCCTTTGTACGCGCAGTCCTTTAAAACAGCTTGCGTTTTTTGTGGCTCTTAAGCGGCCAGGGCTAATGGCTTGGCATGGATAATGTCTTGGCTTAATTGGTTATTGTGAATGCGCCTTGTTTCTCCTGTGGAGTCCCTCGTCCCTGCCTTTCGAACAGTCCCTCACAGGCTCCTTGAATCCATACAGCCCGTGCTCAGGGCCACCGGGGAGCCTGCGTTCTCCGAGCAGCCACCACACTGGGAAGCGGCTGCCCCACTGGGTTGCCCAGATCCCGGCGGGCTCCGGCTCTGACGCACAGGCCAGCTCCCTGCGGCATGGGGTTCACGTGTGTGTTCCCATGGAAGGATGGGCTAGAGACGTTTCTGTTGATAACTGACCCCTGCAAGAGTCTTTCAAGGTTACGCTGGAGGCGTGGAGATAGAACTGACAAAGGCAGGCAGAAAGGGACCCCTTCTATAGAAGCAGAGCCCGAACAAGGCACCGAGGCAGGGGTGCTTCCAGCAGGGAGGACAGCCTTTGCAGAGGAAGGCGACATCTATATTTCTGAGAACAAAGAGCCTAGACGATCCTAATTCCTGTTAACGGCATTTCTTTCCAAGGTCACGATATTTTTCTTAAGTCTTCCTAACTCTTTTGACCTTAAATATATCTTGTTCCTTTCCTCTCATAAGGTGTGTGAAATATCCCAACTTTGGGACCCCAAAGCAGCTGTCTTAGAGCTGGGCACACTACGTTGGGGTTACGTGTTTGTATGTCGGTCTCCCCACAGCTGAGGTTTGTGAGTGTGGTTTGAGGCTGGGACGGAGGCTGACTTGTGTGTGCGTCCCAGAACCCGACGTGGTTCCTGGCGGGTGTGTTGAATGAATGCTCCCAGGAAGATTAAGGAGAGGAAAGCATGTGACTCTAAAGCTGTATTTTGTTGATTCACACATCTGTTATTTGTATGTTCTCTGTATCATGTGTAATAACCAAAATGATGTCATGCAGAAGGAATTCAGAGAATCAAGCTTTTTAAAATGTTACATTAATTTTAAGTGGGATCAGCTATAAAATATCTGAAATTATGATACTTAAACCATAACAGTATGGAACAAAACCCCGAGTAGCCTATCAAGTGGGCTTGCCTCTTCTGTTTTCTGACATAAAATTTATACGTGGGATTTGCTGTATGTGGCAGGTCATCTCCCTCTCGTGTGGCTCTAGGTGACTTTAGTTTCCAAGGAGTTGTTTTAGTTTTTGATCGTAATATCTTTAATTCACACTTCAGTGTTTTTAATTTGTGCTTTGGTTATTGTATTCTCCTTTATTTTGTTGTGTTCCCTTGAAGTTGAACATCCTGGGTGCGATGATACCAGTTGCTACTTTTCAGAAAAAAAAGGTTAAATTTAAGTGTGGTAAGGATTCTTCTTACTGAACCATTTACTCCTGGCTGATTTCTCCCAAAGTACTAGTGGAGGGACAGCTGCCCCAGCCAGCAGTCTCCAAAATGGACTTCACAACCCCCAGGCCTATGAGATTTGGGGGGTAAAAATAGACACTATTAAAGACTTATGTGTCTGTTCATCTTAGCACTTCTGTGTCTGTTCATCTTAGCACATACTTTTAACCTTAGGTATATTTTATGACATTAACATATGGATGTGTTAATGTAGGTATATAACTTATAAAGAAACAGAAACAAAATGCAGGCTTGGTTTCTTTTTGATTGATGGCATGTTCAGTCAAATATGTTTAGAGACCTTGCTCCAAGCATGGATGCATTCTGAGCAGTTCATCTCTCACCAGGGTTCCTGTCCATCTGAACGGGACAGAGAAGTCAGGTTCCTCCCAGCTGTTTGCAGCAGCTTTGTGTCGCTCCTGGTTAGCGGAGAGATGGAGAAATTAAGAACATGGAGAGAGTGTGTGTGTTCTCCAGCACCATGTTCTTTAAAATGGCACTTTACTTGGTCCCTTCTCTCAAAAAAAGGCTTGAGCCAGCCCAGTCTCTTTCCTCACTGGGAGAACTCTTTACCATGACTTACGGGGTCAATGCTGAAGAAGCCAAGCACTGAGCCTTATTCTTGGGCTGCCTCCTACGCAGACTTTGCACTCACAATGTGGTACTGTGTTAGATTTGTTGACCTCAAGGTCATGGCCAATAGGCAGTTTAGGTTTTTTTCAGTGGTCACCCCTGCCAAGAAAACTGATCGTGTCCTCCGTCTCCCCTGGCGATCTGTGTTGATTGTAGGAATGGGGTGTGGATTATACATTGTTGGGTACGGTTACCTCCCGGAATACAATGCGTCTTCTTTTAGACATCCCAGGGAGATAATTTGGACATAATGAAGATCTATAGTAATCAGATAATTACTATCGATTGCTCTTTGGATGTCTTGATGAGGTAATTAGGGTGTACTGGAGAGAAGCTAGAACTGATTGATTGGCATGACTGTAATCTCAAAGATTTCTAATTATGTTTCTTTTCTTCTAATGGCTTATAAACAAACATCATTTTAGCTTTAGACTTTGTCAGGTGCCAGGTTCACCGGGAACATCAGCTTTCTCTATTATGCTAACTAGACCCTGAACATGATCAACATAAGCTCATTACGTCTTCCTGCTGAAGCAGAAGAAACTGCAATTAACCCTCGCTTTTCTTATCCGTCTTTATTCCCGCACGGCCAGATTCTCCTCGAGGACTGGAGTGTGAAGTGTTGTGGGAGGGTGTTTCATGAGGAGCGCCTACGGCTCTGTGCTGAGTACGTCTAGAGGCCTATGGGGACTGTTGGAGCCTGCTGAGCTGCGGGCACAGCAGAGCCGGGGCACAGTGACACAGCGTCTGTGTCAGGGTGGCTGAGTGCTGTGTCCTGTCACAGGTAACAGCCGCTCATCAGCCAGCAAGGTTGAATATTCTCAACATCAGTGCTCTCAAGCAGCTGGACCACTCCCATCTCTGTCAATGTGCTATTGCCTCATCTCTTGCATTACACACTAACTAGAGGAGTCCCTGCCTGAGACCACATTCCACATCACCCTCATATTCCCTACACCTTATAGGACCTTTCGGCAGCTTGCATCGTGCAGAATAGTGGCCCGACTCAAAGATGGAGGGTGGTAAGAACCAGTAAAGGAGCAGTTTGAAATGAGCTGTTTCTATCTAATCAGTGATGTTGGTAAGCTCTGCACTTACTGGACCACAGTTCTGCACTGTGACCATCTATCTCCGCGGGAGTAGGTTCCCTATACACGCCTGTGGGATGGCCTGAGTGATCACCTGTGTTACTGAACCCCATGCTTCCGACTGAAATCTCACCAAAGAAGAAAATCGTGTTTTGTTTTTATATTGTTATAAAATCCGTTATTTTCCTGAACCCATTTGGGAAAAAAGGTCACAGATGTCTGCGTATTCTTATCACTGAAACTTTTACGAGAGGAACAAACTGCACCAGGACGGTTCAGACAGCAGAGGAGACTCGGGATGTTGGTTCATTGAGAACTTATGGTTTGCTGATGTTTGGATAATTGCAGCTGTACCTAGAAATGCTTCATTAACTCCCATTAGCTAGCTTGAGGAGTGGAAGTAGATACAGAATTGATCTTCGTGTTATATCTTTATAGCATAAGTAAAGTTACATAGCAAATTTAATCAGCCATGGTTCTTGAAAAATGACGTGGTTTTTTAAAAAATTTAATCTGAGTGACTATTGAGATCAATAGTTGGTGCTGAAAAATCCTCCTAATCTGTATCAGTGTACTTTCCTCTGTTAGAATATTTAATGAGCATATTTTTATTTTTTAATAATTGGGAATTGTGCAGTGGATCATTTTAATAACAAATTTTATTTCTGTAGGTAAAGAAACTGAAAAAAATAGAAAAAGTGCCCAAAACACATTCCAGATTTTTATTTGTTAGCTGGTATTTCCAATCTAAGATCTGGTTTGTTTTCTAGTTGTTTGCCCCTTTCCCTAAAAGTTCATTGAAAATCTACTTATGTATCTGTTTATCTATGTTTCTACCGATTTTTTCTTTTTGGGGGGATTCTCCCCATTTTGGGTTCTGAGTGTCGTTGCCCCGTATTTGATGAAATACACCACTTGTTCGTCAGGAAGTGTAGGCTGTACCGAATGTACCGCGCGACAGTGTCGTGTGGCTTGCTGACCCAGTCCATGGCCAGTAGGGGCCAGTCACGTGCAGACTGGCGGGGGCCTCAGCTGGAGGGTCTTGGGGCTGCAGGATGGAGGTCACGTGCTGCACAGTTAGGTTTTGGGGCTGGGGGCAGAGTGAGGAAGCACACTGTGGAAGTGATGCCAGTCATTCATATTTGCTTTTGGTTTGGGATGTGTCGTCGCAGGAAGTCTTGCAGCTCGAGAGACAGATGGGAGGACAGCTCCTAGAAGAACCTAAGGCTCTTCACTTCAAAGGCAGTACCCACAACCTGCGCCTGTCCATTCATGATGTCGCCCATTCCCTCTGGAAGAGCAAATTGCTGGCCAAATATCAGGTAAGGTTCCCAAGCTGAACCAAAGGCTTGGAGACACCTGCAAGGGGACTAGAATGATTTAGACAGAAGACACTCCCTTCCTTGAAAGTAATCCTGTCTCAGTACTCGTTTGTCCAAAATAGTTGGGGGGTGTTTAGGAGTTTTTGAAAAATACTCTAGACATCCTGGAGGAAATGCTTTTTTCTGAATTCTCTTTCAGATAACTTTACTATCAATGTTTTAGTAAATAAGATTTCCAAGTCCATCATGTCTGTGCATTCTCAGAGTAATGTTAACATTGAGTTGGTAAAAACCAGCCTCAGATGCATTCGTAGGAGAAAGGGAACATTGTCATCCCACATGACACAAATTAGGCTTCAGCCTGGCTAGGAGAGTGCCTTTACATTGAAAACTTAGAAGGAAGCTCAGCTTGGAAGCTGGGATAGCAAGTGAAAATAAAACCTGGTCAGGATTTTATTAAATAACAGCATAAAAATACTGGTCCCAAGTCCCACTGTATGTAGCTGTGTGTGGGAAAAACAAGACTCCCCCGAGGTGTTCACTTCATCCTCCATCAGGCAGCCCACGCTCTCAGGAGACTGTGTGATGGGATCCCGAGCCTCAGACCCATCCTAGGAGTCGTCGACACCCTTAGGATCAGCAGTGAATCCTTGTCTACACACGTGCAAATCCAGTCCCACACCCTGCACTGTAGCTGCACTGGTTGTGATTTCCTGATGTAGTAAGTCGTGAACATACTAGAAGGGATGAAGGGAAGAGTTTCAGCTGTATTCTTACTCTCAGATGTCTGGTACTTACACAGAAATTGTGGGAAACAAACCCACTGGTGTGCTTAGTCTCGAGCTGTGATGGGGGTACACGCTCAGCACTTGATTGAAAGATCGGCTGTAACTTTCTCATTAAACCTCCTCCCTTGCTTTCTTCTTTCTCTGATTTTGCAACTGCCATAAAAGTCCACAGATCTTCCCCTTTTATGAACAATTCTTTTTGTGCAACCATAATGGAAAGTTGTTTTTATAATAATGATAACCTGATGTGAGTTTAAGCTAAGCCTGGCTGAGTTCTCACCATCTGCCAGACTCTCGTGTACTTTGATTAATCTCATTTAACCCCCTCCATTCAGGTACTCTGTTGCTTAGGTACAGTCTTTCACAGATGAAGAAACTGAGGAAAGGTTAAGTAACTTGCCCCAAATCACCAAGTAAGCAAGGGGAAGGCATCCTATTTGTACTGGATTTGGCTCCAGAGCCTATGTTCTTAACCAACATGGTCTACCATTTTGTATCAATCCTTCTTCTTCCTTTATTGAAAAAAAGATTCTTGGGCTCTGTGAGGTGATCTAGACTCATAGACAATTGTGTCTGTTAGAGGCTTGGTGCCTTTTAGGCCAAGAACTTTACTCTGGCAGCTAATCAAGCCTCCGGTTTCCAACCTGTAGTGAGTTTTGACTTTCCCCATCCTGTGCAGAGGGAGGGCGTAGGCATGAAAGGGAACTGGGTCAGTGCGTCATCCTTTAGACTTTGCTTTTCTCCAGGGTACCATGGCAGGGGTTCCTTTTAATGGGCAATGACTGGAGTGTGTAGGTTTTATTTGGGCAATTGTCTAAACCTTAAAGAAAAGATCATTTACGATGTTTTCTTTGTTTTTTGGGGGGTTTTTTGTAAGTGACAGAGAAGCGGCAGGCTGGTTAGGTATAAGGATTCTGGGGCTGATTCCCTGGGTTCAGACCTCAACTCTGCCACTTTCTAGCTGTGGCACTTTGGGTGAGTTCTTTAACATCTCTGGGCCTCAGGTTTCTTCACCTGAAAAGGAGGTTGGGATGTGTTTGTGCATGGACCCATCGTGAGGATTAAATAAGGTAATTAACATGTGCGGTACTGAGATGAGTACTCTGCAGCGCGCTGTCTGATAGCTTCCTTGAGCGTTAGTCCCTCATTTGTGGCTCACCCTTTTATATGCTTCAGGAAATTCCTTTCTACCACATCTGGAGTGGGTCTCAGAGAAACCTCCACTGCACGTTCACTCTGGAAAGATTTAGCCTGAACACAGTGGAGCTGGTCTGCAAACTCTGTGTGCGGCAGGTAGAGGGAGAAGGGCAGATCTTCCAGCTAAACTGCACCGTGTCCGAGGTAAGAGGCGCTCATTGGTCTCAGACCAGAGGAGGGACCGACCTCCGGGAGGGCCAGTGGGGTATAAAGTATCTCAGTGTGGGAAGCCCTGAGAAGCTCTCTGGAGGGCCTGCTGGTTCACAGAATGGTATTTTTAATGAACACAGGGAGCTAAAATTATATGAAAGTGTAATAGAGGATCCCTTGCAAAAAGCAGGACTTTCACGTTTTGTGACATGAACTTAAGGATCTTGTCCTAACTTTTTACACAGATCTGAACTTCGAGTATAAGGTTCAATTTAAGTATCGCACACATAGAGTAACTTTCCCAAAGCATCCCTGCTGTCCCCTGTTCCTTGTATCCTCCGCCTCTCCTCCTGTTCCGGTTCTTTCCTCGGAACTCACCTGCTTTGCCTGACCGTGCACTCCCTGCCCCCTCCTCTTGCCTCCTTTCCTTTTATCTCCATGTCGAAAGGAGAAGTCTCTTGGTCTCGTTGCTCTCTTATACATTATCCTCCAAACAGAAGAGATGCCCTTCTCCCCGAGGTAGGAGAGACAGTCCAGAAATAGAAGTAAAATCGACGCATTTCCCCACTGGCGCCCATCACGCTGCCTTTCCTCGCCGTGACCCTCACTTCCTTCAGGTGGGACTCTGTCATCTCTGAGATAGAGACATATAAAATCATCACTGCTATTTCAGACTTCTCTGGGTGGAAAGAGGGGGTGCTCGTGACCTTATTGGTTACCTGGGACCCCAGGGCTTGGAGTTAGAACCATGGAAACGCTTCAGGCTGGAGGGACGAAAGGAAAAGGACAGGGTGAGAGGAAGGGGGCAGCACCGTCTGGGGCCTGTGGAGCTGAGCTTGGCGTTGCTTTTTGAGCCCCAGCACAGAATTGTCGTATTTTAGAAGTACCGCCGGACGGTATACGATTTAAAAGACTCCTTCTTCCTCGCTGTCTCATGCACAGTGACGAATGAAACGTCACCCTGTTCGGCGTGTCTCACTCCACATGTCGTATTTAAAGACAGTCTTCCTTAGCAAACCGAGGGGGGGAGCACGTCAGCCTTGACGCCGCCACCTCCTCCTTTCCCACAGCCTGGCGAGCGGCGGTCATCGTTTCCTCCCTCCGTTTCATGAGACTTTTGCCTCATAAACAACTTTAGTCACAGGCCCCGGTGACATTCATAAGGCATGATCTTGGTGTCAGGGCGCCATGGCAACCGCCGGGCCTTTCTGTGCGCGGGGCCCATCTACCGGGCCCGCAGCACCACCCCTGCTGGCTCGGGAGGGTGTTTTCACTTTCCAGGCCCAGCAGGTCTGCAAAGCTCAATACCCACCCAGCTCCAGCCACAACAAAGGCTGCGGAATTTTGGAGGGGGCGGCGAGGAGGTCTGCTCCTTTGATGCTTGCTTTCCGTTCAGCATGAGCGATGTGATGAAAAGGCAGACGAGCTGTGGCCGCGAATGAAAGCGCGCTGGTCAGGGCTGACCCCCCCCCCCCGCCCCCGCCAGGCCAGCCAACCCCTCACCGAAGAGATAGTGTCGCGTCATAGTGTGATCAGTTTAAGGACTTTCTTTCCTGTGCCAACACAGGGGAAAGATGATTTCTTTTGCAACCTGGTGGCAGTCAGCACAGGGAGGCCGACCCTTTCGTCTCCTCAGAGGCCTGTGACAGACAAGCACCCTTAGCAGGAGGGGGGGGGAGGCAGAAATGACCCGCGTCAGATGACTCTGGGGATTAGGGGCCACTCTGCTGCTTTTCCTTCTGGGTCACCGAGTCCCACCGCTGCTGTTAGCATTTGAATGCGGTGCATGTGGCCCGCAGAGCGGGGAGAGTTGGGCTGGTACTGATGTCGGGAGCCAGGCTGTGTGCTGGTGAACAATTGGCTCTGGAGAGCCCCGAGACCTGGAGTCTCATCAAAAGCTCGAGGAGGGGTTCCCTGTGGCTACAAGCCACAACCAACCAGAGAAAAGGCTCCACTGGTGGTGCCTGTCTTCTGGACAGGGCTCCTCCCTAGGGTCACGTGGCAGGCTGGCAGGTGGCCCGGGGTTGCAGTTCCAACGTCCCATCTCCTGAAAATGAGCTGACTTGCCAGGAATGCGCTGCTGCCCTCCCCCTGCCACCCACTGCTCAAGGCGTCACCAGCGCTCCTTTCTAAAGCTCCTCGGCCCTTGGCCTCTACAGTCAGGCACAGGGCCTGCTGCCCCCCCAGGGAGACCAGGCTGTGCTTGACACAGACCGGGGTGATGTCAAGAGCTGGACGATTGTTCCTCTCTAGGGGCCTTGGCCAGAGATTCCTTACCTAGAGATAAAGCCTTTAGTCTCACAGAGATGACGTTTAAGAATGAAAATGCCTAGAAGAGTTAAAAGTATGAGGATAAATGATGATAAAAGGTTTTTCCTTAGAGGGACAGGGGAGGTAATAAAGGAGAAGCTGCCCATCACCAGCAAGAGGGAAAAAAAGTAGAGGAGAGAGAGAAGCTTCAGTCTCGTTAGGACTTTTAGTTCTAGCTACAGTATAGACAAAGACGTTATAACCCTGTTAACTACTGACACACAGCACTTTCGTGCACACAAAGAACAATATTAAAGATGTACAAAGCCTCACTCTGCTATAGCCATCCTATCTATTCACCTCCTCTGTTTTCTATAACCTGTTCAAAAAGGACCCTTGGGAAAATCTAGTTTTTCTAAGTGACTTCAGGAAGAGTCAGAATACAGGAAAGGAAAGTCGTCTCTCCCATGGAGTGTTGAAAACGTGTGCCACAGCAGCTGTTTGGTTAATGGTGAAAAATCATGTTTAACCAAGGGAAGCATAACATCAAAGACAGGTGGTACCAATGTCATAAACAATTATTATAGTAAGTGTTCTGTGAGAGCATACCTGGAAGTAAAAGAAGAACTAACAGCAACAGAAATTACTAGATGAAATTTGAATGTAAATGTATATATGTGTTTTTCTTTTACCTCCAAGGCTGCTGTCAGCCATCTGATAAGAGAGACAAGGGCTTGTTTCATGCACAAGGAAATAAACAGGCACAGTAGCCAAGGCTGGAGACTCAGGGTTTGAAGGCCCACGTAAAGTGCTGACAGTTCTTTATTCACCAAGAGAAGGGGGACAACGTGTATGTGTGAGCAGACCTTCCTGAGAGTCGTGCCTGCCTTACCTTCAGGACTGAACAGTGAGGCGAGCCTTACCTTTAGCCACGTTTAGTTGGAATGTGGCAGCACTATTCTGCGAGGTGGGCTTCTGTTAGGAACTGGCTTCATCCTCTTGCTCTACCAGAAAACATACCTTCCTCTCTTCAGCAAATATGAATTGAGTAGCTTCCACGTTCAGGGCAGTGCCCTGAGGGTCAAAGAAGTTCTGAGGATGACAAAAATACTCTCATCTCCAAGAACTTTGGGAAATCAGAGGAATTCGTCCGTAAGTACAACCAGCGTGCATAGAGCAGATGTAGGAGGAGGACAGGGGCTGTGGGAAGTGCTGTAGGAGGGCTCCAGGCGGAGGGCTCTGGGCGGCTTTGCTCAGGGAACATGCTTTTCAGCCCACGTTTTGAGGTGTTTGCCTGACAGAGGTTAAGGGAAAGGGCAGAAGAACTCTCGAAGGTACATCCTTAAGAAAGGTGCTAGGAACAGTGAATGGGCCAGTCATGCCAGTGCAACCTGAGAAAGACAGGAGCCAGGCTGCCAGGTGGAGGGAACACAGGGGCCCCTCGTCCACGGCAGGCCTGGCTCTGCAGGTTACAGGCATCCCAGGCTTCAGGCCGGCCCGCCAGGCAGGCCCTGCAGATAACCTCATGGCCTGATGAGGAGTTTGGAATCCATGTGGCAGGAGAGCCATTTAACACTTACCAAGAGAAGGGAGGAGAAACGTCAGCGCTGGGCTTTAGGAAGATGAGTCTGGCATAAGGGGTAGACCACAGGGAAGCAGCAGGGAGCTGGTGAGGCCACGAGGCAGCGCTACACCAAGCAGAACCCCCCCCCCCCCCCCCACTCCCCGTGCAGACTCAGCCTCCACCACAGGCCAGGGATGGGCAGGCTGGGTTTCCTTCCAGGCCCCATTGTTACGGTCCAGACGAGAAGCAAGCAGGACTTGCAAGCGGGCCGTAGCGCTAAGCTGTGGAATGAGGGGTGATTTCTCCACGCCTCTGCCCGCCCCCGCTCCCAATTTTATACCTGAGAGAAGCGCTGGCCACTTGGGTGCAGACGTTCCCAACGTAAATCTGTTGAAAAGCACGGACATGTGCCTTCAGTCCTCTCTTCTGGTTTAAGCCCTTTGTTTAAGCCCTATGCCCTTGAGGTCAGGAGCCCTCTGTCCTCGTGGTCCCTCGGAAAGAGCTCTGTGCCCAGTGCAGGGAAAGCTCTTTGGGATTCAGGGACTCCAACGTATCTCATACCAGTCTTTTCAGTCCTGCTGTGTGCTGGAGTTGTTAACATAAAGGAGCCACTGGAATCCTCCGAGGCTCAGTTTGCCAAGCTTTGGGTTCTGAGGCCAGATGTTGTGATCACAGCCAACACCACTTGATGGTCTATGGCAAAAAAAGTTTGTTTTGCTCTAACGTGCCCTCCAGAGCCCCCGGACGGACCCTGTGCCGTGTGATCGCACAAGCCTCGCAGTGGGCCTGGGCTGCTGATCCTGGAACACAGACCGTGGCCCCCAGGTGTAGGAACAGCAGGGTCTGGGAGGCTCTGGAGGGCGGGGGCACTGACGTCTGAGCGGAGCCCTCCATCAGACCCCGAGACTTCCTGATGGCTGGACCCGCGTGTGGCTGTTTTATCCTCCAGCAACTAATTATGTTCACCACGGAGTTACCTGCTCTGAAAAAGAGAGAGATGACATTTAAAGTAGATTAAGTGGATTTTCTTTTATTGCTTTAATCGTCCCCAGGCAACATTTGCTTTTGCTTTTCCAACCAGCAGAAGTGATCAGAAAATGATTAGAGTTTCTCCTGCAGATGAATTTCAGGTTTTGCAATCCTGCTGTTTTATGAGCTGAAACTATCTCAAGAGCCAATCTGTGGTTTTCTCTACTAAAATTAGATTTAAAAACAAGGGTGCACAGCAATTGGAGGATTCTGTTAGCAGCTTGCCCTAAAGCCAGGTACTGTGTTCGCCATTTTCTTTTAAATAATTAGTCTTAATTCGATGTCATTTAGAGGAGAGCTGTGTTCCATTTCATTCAACAAAAGCAGGCCCCGAGCCATCTTCTGCAGAGGTTAGAGGGAGAATTTACTCAAGCGTTTGCCCAGGGCTTCCCCTCAGGGTCAGACAGCCTCTAGAATCTCAGATCTAGATCAGTTCATTCTCAGAGCCGCCCTTTTGAACATTTCTCCCCCCCACAAAACCTAAACCTTTAGCAGTATTGATATTCCCTCGCTCATCCTGGAGAATCCCATTAGAAAAGCTGTAATTGAATTACACCCGAGCTTTCCAGCTAGCCCAGTCCTTACAGAAGACCCGTACATCCAAGGCTATGCAAAAATCAGCTCAGAATGTACCTCTTCCTCTCAGCCAGGTTACAGAGAATCACAGCCGTCAGCCAGAAAGAAGCCATTCTCACTAAGGAGAATATAATAACATTCATTCTCTTCTTACCATTCAAAGCAAGGCATTATGTTGATTGGCTCAATAAGGATTGCTTTTGTCTTCAGAAATAATGCTGTGTTGTTCCCGTGCCTGAACTACAGGAACCTACTGGCATCGATTTGCCTCTGCTGGATCCAGCGAGCACCGTCACCACCATGACGGGACCCAGTGCTTTCAGCATCCCTCCCCCTATCCGGCAGAAGCTCTGTAGCAGCCTGGATGCCCCACAGACGAGGGGTCATGACTGGAGGATGCTGGCCCATAAGCTAAACCTGGACAGGTGGGTATGGCCAGGCTTCAGAACTAGTTCCTGTTAGACCATTGGGCTCCAGGACTGATACAGCTGACCTAGGGCAACGTTCATTCTTTTTCTCCATCTGTACATTTACTTACTTTTCATTATGAGAACATGTATTAAGCTCCTACCTTGTATCTTGCACCATGGTCTTGCAAACACGTTGTTGAGAGACATCCTGGGCTTACCTGACATTTGTAAATATCAGGTTTTGTGATCCACTTCGCAAAGCTGACAGGCTAAATCCCCCTAAATGATATATCCATTCGCTAATTTGTTCCTCGCCTCCTGCTGAGCAGGACCTAATGCTGGAATGGGTAATGAACATGCTAAACACAGCGCCGCCAGGAAGTTATGAAGAGACCTCCGGAGCCTCTTCTTTGTAGAACGTTGCAGTCACGACCAAGCAAAAGGTGTGGCATAACCTGTCAAAGATGATCAGAGCCTGGGCTGGAAAGAAAACATAAGTCTCTTGGTTTCCTGTTTAGGATGTGACCCACAGACATCTTGGCTCTTAAATTATCTTACTCAGAGTTGAGGTTAAAGTTAAGGCATCACGTCTCCTGTCTGGGGCTGACCTAATTCAGTATGGGCTAGCTGTTCAGAACGGCTCACTGCAAGCCACAGTTTCCCAAGTGGGTCCCGTTATACTTACAGAAATGCAGTAACGAAAAGGTTTAGTAAAAACTGAAAGGAAAAGAGGTCCGTACCTCACACCATTCAGCACCTTTTCCCATTACCAATTACAGGTACTTGAATTACTTTGCCACCAAATCAAGTCCAACTGGCGTCATCCTGGATCTCTGGGAGGCACAGAACTTCCCCGATGGAAACCTGAGCGTGCTGGCAGCTGTCTTGGAGGAGATGGGAAGACACGAAACAGTAGTGTCGTTAGCAGCAGAAGGGCAGTATTGACCCAGGCTGGGGCTGAGAGCGAAGCAGGAGAGTCACAGGGAGTCTGTGGACGTCCAGGGGCTCAGAGCTGAGGAGGAAACTCGGTCTAGACCAGTGAGCTCCACAGGCAAGATTGCAGCGGGAGAGAGAAGGAAAACAGACACAACTACCAATATACATGCCCACTCTACTCGGACATCGTCACAGGAGTTAAGAACAATTGTACAAATGTGTATCTTGAATTTAGAAATCAACCTCATTTTCCTCTTAGTTGGGCTGTATGCTGTGTGGTACAGGATCTTACAGTTTCCTAGGAAACGCTTTTTATTGCTATCCAGATCTATGGATAAACTTTCTTAACAAACCCAGTTTCTACAAACGTTGTTTACATCAAATTGGACAGGGATGCAGACACTGTCCATGGCTCGTTCTATTTTTGTTTAAATCATTTGAAGTTGAAGCTGTGGACGGTTTGCTGTGTCTCTTTCAGATTAGTAATTTACAGAGAAATCACAGACTTTTCCTACAAATCATGTGCATCAAGTGTCTCAGAGATAATCCTCCCATCAGTGTTCTGTTTCTAGAACTTGTAGAACCAGTGTTACTGTTTGTATCGGGGAAGTGGAGAACCTAAGTATAAAGGAGAGAGAGCTAAGACTTCCTTATTCCTTGAGGGTACCCACCTCACGCCCTTGGGGAATAAAGTTATAGCGTGGCAGGGAAGACAGGGATTCACGTTCAGCCACACAAACAAGCATTTTTTCCACAACATGTGTGTTTGTAATATGCAACTTGAAGTGGTTTTTTTTTTTAAAAGAAAGGTATTATTATTATCATCATCATTATTATTGATGAGTATTTACAAGTATTCTAGTAAAAGGATTTTCTTTTAACTTGTTTTTGTTAGCAGTACTGTTAGTATTTAGGTATTGACCTGACCCGGGCACCTTCTCATAACAAGGTGGGCGTGGTCACCAGTTTAATTAAACAGGCATTGCTTCCCTGACCTTTTATCTTTCTCCCATCATTCTGCCTGGAAAGGAGGTAAATGCTCACTGGCCTTGTCAGTCTGTCTGGTCTCTGAGCTTGCTCAGGCAGGGGCTTTGTCCTCCGAGTCTCGTCACGAGAAGCGTTCAAGTGTTCTGATTCAGGCTTTACTCAGCATTGTGGTCACACAGCCCCACACGCCTCTCGTGGGTCCTCTGTCTACCTTGGAGGCAGTGTGGTTGAAGGAACAGCCTCTGAGCTGGAAACCGGTTCTCATTCTGGGTTTGTCACTGGCTAGCCGTGCTACCTTGGGAGAGTCATTTACCCTCACTGGACCTCAGCTTCCTCACCTGTAAACTGAAGGGATGGGATTAGATCAGCTCAAGGTTCTAAAATGCTTGACTTCCACTGTGATGCTCCCAGTCTCCGTCATCAGTATGAAGACCACAATGGACGCTGACCTGGATCATTTAAAGATTCAACTAGCCTTTCGCCCAGGCTACATTATGCCTTTCAAATAGTTCCCACTTGGAAGATAATTATTCTAACCTGTAACATATTTGTCATGCTTTCAAGTCTTGTCTTTGTGTCATTGCATCACGCTGTTCACCCAGAGATGGCATCCCTTTATTATCACTTTCTTTCCTCTCTTGGGACCAGTTGCCTTCCTGACTAGTTGCAAATTATGTTCTATTATTGTCCTGGTCAAAATTTTTTTAATTAAAAAAATTTTTAACTGAAAAATAGTCAACAGACTACTTTGTGTAAACTATGATATTTCCTGAGGACCATCACAGGCTCTTTGTTTTAACACAGGGACTCAATTCATTCAGCAGGTGGGGAATAAAGAGTCAACAGCCCAGGAGCCAAACCAAGATTGAACAACAAGCACCCGTGCGTATGAATCAGAACTTCCAAAACATGGCTGTGGTTAACTTTTGGGCTGGAGGTATCCAAGTTGCTGACTGGATTTGAATTAGAAATAATTTTATACCCTTTCCCCCTTCTTTCCACATATATTTCCTCTCCTGACTATTTTGGTAACTTTTTGATATTCCCAGGTTCCTCCATCCTCATCATCGAGAAACTGCTGATACCTTGTAGGGAGCCTTTTCTTTCCTGCCTTTTATTTCTTATCTTTTGTTTTAGATGCATATTCCATAGTCTCTCTCAGACCACCCCCCTGTACCATATATAAGAATATGTTACACTTATTGTGAAAGGGAAAGATTGCACTAACAAGTTCAGTGGATAATGCTTATACCAATGCATCTTTGACCAAAAGATAGTAAAATTCTACATTAAAAAAAATTTAATACATAATTTTTAAAAAGGAGGAGGAGGAAAGACTGTTGTCCATTGCTGCATCTTAAAATAACTTCTCAAGGTTACTCACCATTACTGGTTTGGGGGGGCTGTCATCTGTGGAAGTCAAGAATTAGAAATCTGATACCTAAGGAGAAATAGAAAGGAGTAAATATGTAGTATTCAGATAAATCAATTCCAAAACTGACTAAAAAAAGTCATCAACACAGAACTACAGAACACAGCAGGAACTGTATTTTTGAGGCTCCCCCATTGAGGGGGGGGGCTTTGGGGTTCACTTCGGAGGCTTCGTGGTTTTCGGTTAACGGGCAGAGCGGTTGATTCCCTATAAGTGAGGTATTCATCTGTCATCCGGTGAATGGCAACTTCCATATGTACAGCACAGCATTTACATTTATATCAAATGATTTTCCCTGCGAATTCTGATTTCCTTCCTTGGAGGGAGTGAAGTAATCGCTGTTAGACTGTTCTCAAACTCGGAAGACCCAGACTCAGCAGTTCAGCATGTAGGGAGCCGCCTTCTCAGCCATCCTGTGACACGTCCTGCCTGTCATTCCTAGGGCTTCTATGTAGGTTGTGAGCAAAGACCAGTTTACTTCATCCGGAAGGAAAACAAATCGATCACTTGTGCATGATGCCATCTAGTGGTGGATAACGCAATCTACCCTGCGTCTAATCGGAAAACTTGGGAAAAGTTGTTTGACCAAGGGAATGGATACCTATAGCGTCTGCAGGACCTTTATGACAAACAGACGTGGGGAAATTTTCACTTCTAGTTTTCTTATTCTCACATTGTTTTTCACTTAAATTAGCCATACCAAAAATTACATGTCCTTATGAGCCTAGTACATTTGTTACTAACTCATTCATACACAACACGTCTCAAGTTGGGTTTTGGTTATAGGAATAATAGAAGTACGTAAAAATCTGTACGAAACAGTTTTTGAAGAGTTGTCATTTTTAACATTTATATTTTTCATTGGGCTTTATATGTTTTAAGTCTTTTAGTTCTCTAGTATTTATTTTTGAGGGTGTAAGAAGCACCCACTTAGAAATAAGTTTTATATATGCAAATGAAAATAGTGCGTCTAATGAAGTGGAAACTGTGCTTGATAACCAAGGAGAAGAAATTAGCCTCCTGAATTTGGGGATCTAAAGGCAGAGGTTTCCTCCTGTTTTCACTTTCCTCTCACCAAACTCACTGAAATTTCCTTTAAGTGATCTGGAAGGAACAGAAGTTAGATTCAGAGTTGATAACTGGGCACAAAGTGATGCCAAACATGTAACACCGAGGTGCTCACAGCCAGTAGCCTTTTCATAAACAGCATGAACGCCAGTGTGGATACTCACCTCAGCTACCCAGAAAAATCCCCATATTATCACAGGAGCAATGTAAGCTCTTCCAAGGCAGGGCAATATTTGGGGTGAGATGTCCATTGTTAAGTTGCATAACCATTAGCCATTTTTACATATACTATTATTTTGTAGATTTTAATCTCCCAACTTTCAAATAGTAGAACCATTGTTTAGGAAGAACTCATGGAGACTGAGTTCAGGACACTCGAGAAACTACACAGTAATAATTTTTTAGAGGTATTTCTCCTATAAGAAGGATATCTTAAACATTCCAATAGTATACTCGTTTTTTTTGTTGTTGTTGTTTTTAACTTCTTCTGGAGAAGAGCAGACAAGGCTCTTGCTTATGTGTCCGTAAGTGTGTCTCTGTCGGGGACACAGCAGCTGTGTTCCTGGTCCGCTTACTCCGCTGTCTCTATCATTAATGTTTGAGGAAGGAAGCAGTAGGTGATCACTGGCTCCTCTGAATTCACAGCCTTTGCCACTACAAGGTCTGCCCCCATGAGGTCAAGCAAATAAAAATACTGACCTGCAAGAGTGTAAAGTAGGTAGAAAAAGTTTAGCTGTCGAATTCTCAGTCTGCAGGTCGAATGGGAGCGTTGGCTCTCGCTGAGCAGTTGCTCTGGTCAAGGTGTCAGTCTCGCACAGAGGCCTCAGTCCTCAGTCCAGGTCCACGGCCGATGAAAGCAAGGATGACTGTGGAAACAGCCAGAGTGAAATTGGGTTTTATCCATCTTCTCTGAGAACAGGTGAGCTCTTGTGAGTCAGAATGCCATTGCTCAAAGCCAGTTATCTGTAAAGATGATAATGGTCAATGAGCATTAGATTTTATGGATCCAATAAGGAAAATATTTTTATTATTATCTCAAGGTGATCAAACATTGTTTTACCTTTTGAGTGTCTCATAGCACCAACTATTACACTTTGCTTTTTCCTTTTCTATTGTTTTTTTTTAACCTTACTGAGCTACTCTTGACTGAAATCCTTAGAACTTGGCCTCTGTGCACTGAAGTGCTGTTTCATTACCCTAAGAAATCTATCTGTATAATCTCTGGCTGTAATGATGACTTTGAAATAGTTCCTTTGCCTCTCAAATGATTTCCCCCCGCCATGGTATAGGCATGAGGGGAATACATACATTGTAAGCATTGTTCATTTAAGGCTGTATTCATACAGCTCAAGTAAGCCAAATGGAGTCATAAATATCTCCAGAATTCATGCCTGAAACCTCCTATTTTTGAAAAGTAGGGAGATGGCCTTGTATGTCACTGGGTGGGTTTCTGATACAGGCTAACAATTAACTTCCTGATCCTGTAGTCTTATAAACCTTGTGATTGCTCCCATTTTGGGAAATCCTGCTCTAAAAATCTGTCTTCAGCAGAGTTCATGGCGCCAAGCTTTTTCAGTGGCCCTGTCACCTCCCTGTACTGATCTACAGGTAGGATATTTATGGGCTCATGAAACAAAACATAACGTACACTCGCAGCCCTATTTTAGCATGGTCGAGGGCAGTGTTGCCAGGACAGACAGGAAGTCCACAAATGCACTAGCACACAAAACCAAGCAGGTATAAGAGGCTACTACTTCCCAGCCCGCTGTATACTTAGACTTTTGCGTATTGCAGAGAACTGTCCAGAGATCTTCCGGTATCCCTGCAGAGTGGCAGGAGAGTCTTGGCCTACCAGCTATGGAGTAGGAAACAAGGAAGGTGCCCTGAGATAAGGTCAGCTGCCCACCAGGCAAAGCATTTGCTACCATATGCCAGCCTCTAAACATGCCATTTCAGATCGTGCCTCAGCAAAATTCTAAGTTGCTGAGGCCGTAGCACTTCAGGGTCTTTAATTTAACAAACATGCTCAAATCCTTCGTGCCAACCTTAAATTCCAGAAGTCTACTGGACTTGGCACTATCACAGCTGCTGCTGAACCTGATGGCATCTACCCAGGGTGGAAAACCCCTCAGTACTGAGCTCAGAATGTGAACGTAGGCAATTTTTGCTGATCGGCAGCCTAAGAATTGATGAGCCCTTGACCTCTGCATATCAGCACTTCCGTGAGGCAGCATCCAAGAATCATGACCTGAACTATGTCCTGGATGCTAAACCCGTTCAGAGCAGCATAAAAGAGCAAGAAATCCACAGCCAGTGGAAAATGCTGGACAGCAATCGGAACAAGCTGAATGTGCGATCTGCATTCTCCCCTTTGCTCTTTCCCAGGCCTCCCGTTGGTAGTGAGACCCTCACCCTCCCGATGGGATGCGTTTAGCCCAGTTGCATGGACTAGCATCCCTGTGTGTGTGTGTGTTGTGTGTCAACGTGTTGTATGTGTTCACTGAGTTTAATGTTGACCTGTCGCAAGTTGGTGACCTTCCTCTTGGCTCTTTCTAAAGAAGACAACCAATGTTTGTCAAAGAAAACTCCCCAGCAGTCTGCGGTGCAGTGCCGTGTCATCCACCTGCTACTCCCTGGGGAACAGTTCAACTGCAGAAATGTCACATTAAGGTTTTGTGCTTTGTTGTCTTTCTTTTTTTAAACACGACACAACGTTGGCTTTTCGGATACGGAACTCTTCTTTTGCTGTTGTGGAGTTCCCTCTTGCCGTACCTTCTATGCAATTCCTTTTCTAGAAAACCCCTGCGGAGGCTTGCTCTCTGGGGTCCTGTCCGTGTTCCCCGTGTGCTGGAAGTGAGGGACGCCGGCTCCGGCTGTGTCTCTCCTCTCTCCCTGGCTGCCTCTCCCCATTTTCCTGCAGTCCCTCGGTTTGTAATTTTGCCTGCATTTATCCTGTCAGCCAACATGTACAAAATGTAAAAGAATTTTTAAACAGGTGATAAATTATATTTATAAGCAACAGAGAGCGCCACCCCCCTTGTTTCTTCACAGCAAAGCCCTCTGTGTGAAGAGTCACGTGGTGGCCCCGTAACAGGACAGAAAAGCTGTTGGATTCTTCACAGACAGTAATCCCAACGTCCCTCGGGCCAGGATGAGGTTCTAGAACGGTGCTTCTCAAGCGTCTCCACACACTTGAGTCACGGGAGGAGCTTTACCAAACACAACTGCCTGGATCTCACCCTCAGAGAACCTGGGTGTTGGGAGTGTTTTAAGCCCCCAGGTTAGCAGTTATGGGGGGACCGGGTCTGGGGACTGCTGTCAGAGCTGCTGGGGAGTTGGGAAGAAAGCAAGTGGGAGGCCAGACCCTCAGAGACTCGATTTTAAATGAAGTCTGCACAGAGAGAATGGACTTGTGGTTGCCAAGGGGGAGAGGGGGAGGCGGAGGGATGGACTGGGAGTTTGGGATTAGCAGATGCAGACTGGTATACTATACAGGATGGATACACAGCAAGGTCCTATTGTACAGCACAGGAAACTGCATTCAACATCCGGTGATAGGGGAGGACCTTAAGAATGGCAGAGGAAGAAGATGTGGAGATCACCTTCCTCCCAACAAATACATCAGAAATACATCTACACGTGGAACAACTCCTACAGAACACCTACTGAATGCTGGCAGAAGACCTCAGACCTCCCAAAAGGCAAGAAACTCCCCACGTACCTGGGTACGGCAAAAGAAAAAAGAAAAAACAGACAAAAGGATAGGGATGGGACCTGCACCAGTGGGAGGGAGCTGTGAAGGAGGAAAGGTTTCCACACACTAGGAAGCCCCTTCACGGGCGGAGACAGCGGGTGGCGGAGGGTAAGCTTCGGAGCCGAGCCGAGGAGGAGAGTGCAGCCACAGGGGTGCGGAGGGCAAAGCGGAGAGATTCCCGCCCAGAGGATCGGCGCCGACCAGCACTCACCAGCCCGAGAGGCTTGTCTAATCACCTGCCGGGGCGGGCAGGGCTGGGAGCTGAGGCTCCGGCTTTTTCGAAGGTCAGATCCCAGGGAGAGGCTGCGTGAACACAGCCCGAAGGGGCTAGTGCACCACAGCTAGCCGGGAGGGAGTCTGGGAAAAAGTCTTGAGCTGCCGAAGAGGCAAGAGACCATTGTTTCGGGGTGCGCGAGGAGAGGGGATTCAGAGCAGCACCTAAGTGAGCTCCAGGAGCCGCGGCTATCAGCGCAGACACCACAGACAGGCAGGAAACGCTAAGGCTGCTGCTGCGGCCACCAAGAAGCCTGTGTGCAAACACAGGTCACTGTCCACACGCCCCTTCCGGGGAGCCTGTGCAGCTCGCCACTGCCAGGGTCCCGGGATCCAGGGTCAACTCTTCTGGGAGAACGCACGGCACGCCTCAGGCTGGTGCAACGTCACACCGGCCTCTGCCGCTGCAGGCTCGCCCAGCATCCGTACCCCTCCTTCCCCCCCCCCCCCCCCCGAGTGAGCCAGAGCCCCCCAAATCAGCTGTTACTTTAACCCTGTCCTGTCTGGGTGGGAAAAGATGCCCTCAGGTGACCTACATGCAGAGGCAGGGCCAAATCCAAAGCTGAACCCCAGGAACTGTGCAGACAAAGAAGAGAAAGGGAAATCTCTCCCAGCAGCCTCAGCAGCAGCGGATTAAATCTCCACAATCAACTTGATGTAGCCTGCATCCGTGGAATACATGAATAGACAACGAATCATCCCAAATTGAGGAGGTGGACTGTGGGAGCACCTGTAGACTTGGGGTTTGCTGTCTGCACCTAATTTGTCTCTGGCTTTGTGTTTATCTTAGTTTAGTATTTAGAGTTTATTATCATTGGTAGATTTATTGATTTGGTTGCTCTTTTTTTAAAATATATATATATATTTTTTTCCTTTTTCTCTTTCTGTGAGTGTGTATCTGTATGCTTCTTTGAGTGATTTTGTCTGTATAGGTTTGCTTTTACTATTTGTCCTAGGGTTCCGTCTATCTGTTTTTTATTAGTATAGTTTTTAGTACTTTTATCATTGGTGGATTTGTTTATTGGTTTGGTTGCTGTCTTTTTTTTTTAATTACTTTTTTTTTTTTAATAATTTAGTTTTTATTTGAACAACTTTATTTTATTTCTTTCTCCCTTTTCTTGTGAGCCATGTGGCTGACAGGGTCTTGGTGTACTGGCCAGGTGTCAGGCACGAGCCTGTGAGGTGGGAGAGCTGAGTTCAGGATGTTGGCCCACTGGAGACCTCCCGAACCCTCATAATATCAATGGACAAGAGATCTCCTTCTCAACACTAAGACCCAGCTCCACTCAACAACCAGCACGCTACAGTGCTAGACACCCCATGCCAAACAACTAGCAAGACAGGAACACAACCCCACCCATGATGCAGAGAAAGCTATCAACAAAATTCAACACCCATTTATGATAAAAACCCTCCAGAAAGTAGGCAGAGAGGGAACTTACCTCAACCTCATGAAGGCCATATATGACAAACAAACAGCCAACATCATTCTCAATGGTGAAAAACTGAAACCATTTCCACTAAGATCAGGAACAAGACAAGGTTGCCCACTCTCATCACTATTATTCAACATAGTTTTGGAAGTTTTAGCCACAGCAATCAGAGAAGGCAAACAAATAAAAGGAATCCAAACTGGAAAAGAAGAAGTAGAACTGTCACTGTTTGCAGATGACATGATACTATACATAGAGAATCCTAAAGATGCTACCAGAAAACTAGTAGAACTAATCAGTGAATTTGGTATAGTAGCAGGATACAAAATTAATGCACAGAAATCTCTAGCATTCCTATACACTAATGATGAAAAACCTGAAAGAGATTAAGGAATCACTCCCATTTACCATTGCAACAAAAAGAATAAAATACCTAGGAATAAACCTACCTAAGGAGACAAAAGACCTGTAAGCAGAAAACTACAGGATACCCATGAAAGAAAGTAAAGATGATACAAACAGATGGAGAGATATACCATGTTCTTGGATTAGAAGAATCAACATTGTGAGAATGACTATACTACCCAAAGCAATCTACAGATTCAATGCAATCCCTACCAAACTACCACTGGCATTTTTCACAGAAGTAGAACAAAAAATTTCACAATTTGTATGGAAACACGAAAGACCCTGAATAGCCAAAGCAGTCTTGAGGGAAAAAAACGGAGCTGGAGGAATCAGGCTCCCTGACTTCAGACTATACTACAAAGCTACAGTAATCATGACAGTATGGTACTGGCACAAAAACAGAAATATAGATCAACGGAACAGGATAGAAAGCCCAGAGATAAACCCACGCACATATGGTCATCTTATCTTTGACAAAGGATGCAAGAATATACAATGGAGAAAAGACAGCCTCTTCAATAAGTGGTGCTGGGAAAAGTGGACAGCTACATGTAAAAGAATGAAATTAGAACACTGCCTAACACCATACACAATAATAAACTCAAAATGGGTTAAAGACCTAAATGTAAGGCCAGACACTATAAAACTCTTAGAGGAAAACATAGGTAGAACACTCTATGACATAAATCACAGCAAGATCCTTTATGACCCACCTCCTAGAAAAATGGAAATTAAAACAAAAATAAACAAATGGGACCTAATGAAACGTAAAAACTTTTGCACAGCAAAGGAAACCATAAACAAGATGAAAAGACAACTCTCAGAATGGGAGAAAATATTTGCAGATGAAGCAACTGACAAAGGATTAATTTCCAAAATATACAAGCAGCTCATGCAGCTGAATATCAAAAAAACAAACAACCCAATCCAAGTACGGGCAGAAAACCTAAATAGACATTTCTCCAAAGCAGATATACAGATTGCCAACAAACACAGGAAAGGATGCTCAAATCAGTAATCATTAGAGAAATGCAAATCAAAACTACAATGAGGTATCACCTCACACCAGTCAGAATGGCCATCAGCAAAAAGTCTACAAACCATAAATCCTGTAGAAGGTGTGGAGAAAAGGGAACCCTCTTGCACTGTTGGTGGGAATGTAAATTGATACAGCCACTGTGGAGAACAGTATGGAGGTTCCTTTAAAAACTAAAAATAGAACTACCATATGACCCAGAAATCCCACTACTGGACATATACCCTGAGAAAACCATAATTCAAAAAGAGTTATGTACCACAGTGTTCATTGCAGCTCTATTTACAATAGCCAGGACATGGAAGCAACCTAAGTGTCCATCAACAGATGAATGGATAAAGAAGATGTGGCACATATATACAATGGAATATTACTCAGCCATAAAAAGAAACGAAACTGAGTTATTTGTAGTGGGGTGGATGGACCTAGAGTCTGTCATACAGAGTGACGTAAATCAGAAAGAGAAAAACAAATACCACATGCTAACACATATGTATGGAATCAAAAAAAAAAAAGAAATGTTCTGATGAACCTAGGGGCAGGACAGGAATAAATATGCAGACGTAGAGAATGAACTTGAGGACACAGGGAGGGGGAAGGGTAAGCTGGGACGAAGTAAGAGTGGCATGGACATATATACACTACCAAACGTAAAATAGATAGCTAGTGGGAAGCAGCCGCATAGCGCAGGGAGATCAGCTCGGTGCTTTGTGACCGCCTGGAGGGGTGGGATAGGGAGGGTGTGGGGGCAGACGCAAGAGGGAGGGGATATGGGGATATATGTGTACATATAGCTGATTCACTTTGTTATAAAGCAGGAACTAACAGAGCAATGTAAAGCAATTATACTCCAATAAAGATGTTAAAAAATGTATACCCTGTGATAAACCATAATGGAAAAGAATATGAAAAAATATATGTATAACTGAGTCACTTTGCTGTACAGTAGAAATTAACACACCATTGTAAATCAACTGTACTTCAATAAAATTTAAAAAGATAAGTAAATCAAGTCTGCCAACAGCTGCACTAGTAGGTAGGAAATGAAAGGGGAGGATGCCCAGAGCTACAGCGAATGCCTGGCAGAGCTGCTCAACCTGCCGGAGCACAGCCAGCCACTGCCTCAGGGTGATGAGCACAGGACAGACTCGGATGTGCGAGGAGAGCTCTGAGGCAGCCCTTTCCTAATGAAGGAGCTGAGCCAGAAGCGCCTTTGATGGGAGGCTCCCGTCCCATCCCATCCCATCCCTCAGGCTTGAGCCAAAGAGCTTGGGAGCAGCCCTGAGGCACAGCCCCCCTGACTTGAGACTGATCCAAGACTGGGGTCGCAAAACCAGCTGTGGGTCAGGGCTGAGCAAGTGGTGGCGATGTGTACACTGGAACCAGTTTAAAACAGAAGGGAGAAGTGGGTCCAATGGCTGAGAATTTAACTCCATTAAAAGAATGGAAACTCAGTAGAGAACAAAATGGTACTGCGCACAGAAAGCACATGGCAGCAGAGACTCAGCCCACCCCCATCCCGCGAACCGTGCTTTGGAGCTTTGGTGGCCGGCATTCCTGTTGGGAAGACCGCACTCAAGAAAGCACGCGCACATTTTCCGAGTCACGTCGCGGGTGGGAGGCTGCCCGAGCTCCTCTCGGGGGTAGAGTCACTGGAGGGTTCAGGAGGGTGGCCAGCACAAAGAACCCCCATCAGCCCCAGAGCTCCCTGTAGCCGGTTACAACCACCACCGGGGGCGGGGGGGGGGGGGGAATTACTCTGCAGGAAGAGAAGTCCTTCTGAGAGCAGGGTCACCTGTACTTTGCTGCTGTGACAAGAAGGAACAACCAAGCTTGCAACTTAAAAGCGAGCAGAGCAAGAGAAGATGCTGTTCGCCTCCGCTGGGATTTACTATCTCTCTGCCTTTGAGTCCCGGGAAAGCCCACAGCATAGAGAAGTGGGGTGCAGAGAGGGTGGGAGAGGTGTCACCCCACTCCCACCACTGCAAACTCTGGCTTGTTTTAAACGTTGCCATCTTTACATCCTGTAAAACTAATGTCAGCGAGGAAAAGCAGTATTTATGAGCACCTGCTGTGTAGCTGGTGCGGGGCCATCACATTCTTCACACGTTCACCTCACTTGTTCCTCCTAAGAGCTCTGTGAGGTGGGAATTTTGTCCCAATTTACTCGGGAGAAGATTGGGGCTCAGACTATGTTCTTCCACAGAACTGAGATGGTGAAAACCATGGGATGGGAGTTAAATCGATCTGAATCCCAATGCTGGGATGAATTCTCTTGGCATAAGTGCGGCTGGCTAGACACAGCCAATCACACAAAAACTTCAGAGTCCCTGGTAACTGAGATGCAAGCCCGCCTGTAGTCTCTGCGCCCAAACAACTCTGGATTTCCTCTCTCCTAATCGTCTCCAGTGGATGCCCTCAAAACCAAACTTTGCTCTCTGCCCACCAGGATTCCCAGTCCATGGACAAACAACCTAGCAAGTTCCCTCTCCCTCTGCAGAGGGTTTTCTCCTCTCCAGGGGCCACTGACTCAGAAACAACAGCAACAACTGGCTTGTTCCGCACCCCACGTACCTCACAGCTGGGAAGAAGGATGGAGTCTTTCTCCTTCCAGGAGCACGGCTGTGCTCCTTCCAGGCTGCTGCCCCTGCATGGAACCCCACTCCTTTGTACGTCAGGCCATCAGGCCCCACCAGCCTCTGTCTCCACTTTCTGCCCCTCACTGACTGCCCCCCATTCCCGTGCAGCCCCGGAGAACCCTGCCTCACAATCTTCATGTCATTAGACTGCCACCATCCTGGGACGCTTCAAAATCCCCAGAGACAGATCCAATGGCCCGGCTTTTGCGTTCCTCTTTCATCACCGATAATCTTATCCACTAATAAATCTGCCCACCCCTGTGATCACACCTTCAGCCTGTCCTTGACCTTGCTACTCCCTCTTTGAAATCTTGATTCTGAACACAGACCCTTTCTCAGTAACCGCTATCGCACCATCTCGAACCCAGCATGGTTCCCTGTCCTCTGACCTTGTTTCTTTGGGCCTATCAGCCGCCTCTTCTTTAATCCCCCTCCTTCCTCTGGACCACATCAGCCATCACCTTGATGATGATAATTCTGATTTTCCATGACTCATTGCTGCATATGCCTGGTAACCCTGAATGAATCCAGTGGCCGCAGTCTCCATGCCTGCATTGGGTTGCTGATAGAAAAATAAAATCATAAAATTACAGAGAAGAGTAGCAGAAGGAATTTGTAATAATAGCTAAGAGTTAGTAACCGAGTGTTAGTTGAATGCTTACCTCATGCTTGGTGCATGGATTATTTCATTTCATCTTCAGAACCACTCCATGCAGTAGAGATTAATATTATTCCCACCTTCAAGGGGAAGAAACTGAGTCTTCGAGAGGGAACAACATGCCTACCGTCACAGAGTGGCGAGAATGAGGGAGCCCAGGTTCACGTGTGGGCTGTACGGTGGTCCAGGGGCCACACCTTGGCCACTAAGCCACAGTTAGCGTCATCCATCTTAACGGGGCCCTCGGCGTTGCCTGCAGCCATCCGGCTGTGATATCCTACGATGCAATTTTAGACCTTGTCACCAACTTTTCTACCTTTCCTCCCACTCTCAACAGATGACCGTGCCTCCTAATTATAGAGAAAACAGGAGACGTCAGACCGTTCGTCTTGCTCTCCTGCCACCAGATGTACACTTACCTGCAACGCTCTCCATGGCTGCCTTTCCCGCCTGCTACAATGTGAAATTTTTAAAGAGGAAAAAAGGCACAACTATAAGATAACAGACATGTTCTTTCCAAGGGGAGAATAAAACCATTTTATTCCGGGGGAATGTTAAAACAAAGCCATATACAATTTGTAACAAATACAATACAATTGTTTGTTCCCTAGTCCTGAATAATTACAGTATATACAAATTCAATAAGGCACTGGTTCCCCAAAAGAACACAAATGAGTCTTCTTTTGAAACAGACAGACAACAAAATCCCGTATATATTCTAACTTTTCTCCAAAAAATATGGCATTGTTTTTTTGTTTTGTTTTACAAAAGGAATGATGACTGCTAAACTGAGTCACTTCTGACGCCTTCTTTCATTTCCACGGCTATGTGACTAAGTTTTCTAAGGAGATATAACTACAGAATTATTCAAGTTTTAAAAAACTGTACTTCTTTCAGTGCCTTTCACCTACAAAGAAGAACCAGAACAGACCAACAACATAAAACACTGAACTTCTAACGAACAGGCGTGACTGCAGAAACGTGAAAGTCGGTCATGACTCAGGACTTGCTCTACCTGACTACACAGCAATTGAAATGTGTCAGAGAATTCCCTGTAAATAAAACCTTAGCGTGTTTTCTGAGAAGCTTCATTCTGAGAATAAAAAGAATGGTCGCTAGTGACTCCTGAGCTGTGCTTTCCAGGGGGTCAAAGGCCGGTCTCCTCACACACAATGTTCATAGCACTGCCGCCTGTGATTTAACAATCTACACCTTTTATAAATAAATATTACGTTTCATTTAGTACTTTATCCTAATAATATTTTACGCTCTAATCCACATAATGGAGTTGTGTCAGACTCCAAACTGAACATAATATTTATATATACATATATATTTATATAATATATACAAACATACATAAACTATAAAACCAAACATCTTAGCATACAAAACTTATATTAGCCAACAAGTAGTATTTTAGGATTCCTTTGCAGGGAAAAGATTAGAAGAAAATTTTAGGCTTTGAAATAGTCCTAAAAGTAAGCATCAACTACATTATTTCCAGGTTCCCACTCTTCTGTTAAAAGACAAAACGAAAAAATAAAATTCGCTTCTGAGCTACCAGAAATTTAAAAATCAAAATGAATTATTTGCAAGTGAGTAGGTAGTCTCTTTAAGAACAATTTAATATTCCCTAAGCAAGGTGGATTTTGGTAAGATACAAGGAAAACTCTATTCATAAGTAAATTCTTGTTTCATTGAAAGACCATAGTAACTAAATGGGTCTTTTTAAGTATCTCTGGAATAACTTTTAAATGTTCATAGTGAGTAAATCAGGTTGGGGATTAGAAAGTAAGCTAGTCATTCTTCCAAAGCAACCAAACACATAACAGAGAAGAAATCTGGCTACTATTTTAATCTCTTCCCATTCTTCACAGGAACCAACACCTCCCTAGAAATCTAGTTTACTTTGAAATTATCACCTGTCCACAATATATTCTGATTTGAAGTTATCCATGTGTAAGAACTTACCTAAAAGAAAACACATTTTTACCTAAGAGATAAGCCCAGCATCGCTTAAATTTAGGGAAAATCAAGAAACAGAAACATGTCCCCACTTAACGGACATAAATGTGTACTTGTTTGTTTCGTAGACAATCTGATTGGAGGCGCTTAAGTTTCTCTCCTAGGCTCAGATGACTATCATGCTTAGCTCTAGCCACATACTCCTTCTAAGCTATCACAAAGAATACGATTTGATGCAAGAGAAAGGAACCTTTACACTGCTATTGAGGTTATCTTAATATCAATAAAAGCAGCATTCTGATTATATTTGGAACCAACTGTTTTTAATCTTTGAAAAATGCAGAAACCTTTTTCGTCTTCAAGGATTAAGGAAATATTCTTTCTTTGTTACAAAGGAGATGTGGTTATGAAGCACTGGGGAGTGAGTGCTGAATACAGAAACTGTTTCTCCTTATGCTTCTCCCAAACCGTAAGCACAGCTCACAGCTGGTCTCTGCTCTAGGATGCTTTTCTGGAGGAACAACTCACCAGTGCAAGCCCACTTCAGAAGTGAGGAAAATGTTTTCTCGTTTTTAATGCAGCTGTCACATTTTCAAAACCCTCCACCCTTCAGCCACCAAGTGGTGAAATGAAAATGTGTTATAAAACACTGCCCCCTGGAGTATTCTGGAAGGAACATCTTTTTTTTTTTTTAAAGGGCTGGGCAAGGGGGTACTTTCCAGTTCTTCACTAAACACTACAGAATTTCTAAGAAGCAAAAGAAAACCACAGTCAGGAAGTACATGAATCAAGTTGAGAGGGATGTGTACAATTTTAACCTTTATTAGGTTCCTGTTGCTAAGGAATACTGGCCCTGTCAATGATCTGACTCAAGTTGCTCAAAAGTTAAAACCCCGCGTGAGTGAATAGGTGAAAAGACGTTTTGCACAAGTGCCACAGAGAAGAAAAAATAATAAATTAAAAAGTGAATTGAACGTTATGAGAATAAAATTAACTGAGTCAGCATTCCTAAGATGTGAAGCTATCACATAAGATATTAAGATATACATATTCGATCCGTATCTATTCTAGAATAATAAATCAGCAGCCGTAACAGTCTGTGGCCTCCACCAGCATTCCTCTGCTGTCCCATTTGGAGGTTATATTTATCTATTTAAAAATTAAAATTAGTTAAATTAACCTAACATATGTTTCCTCTCCTTCCCTTAACTCAGACACATAAAAGGCAGATAATAACAAAAAGAAACCGTATTTGTCTGTACATAATAGGTTGTGCATACATTTCCCCTTGCGCTTCTGTGAAGGGCTCTTCCACGCACAGAAGACACAAGCCACGTGCACCTGTACCCTCATCCCCTCCCGTGCTGACACTATCTTCTCACAGCACAAGAGCAAAGTATCTCTATTCTAAAGCGCCTTGTCGTCAACACAACTGATGGCAATTTTATACTTAATATTGATCCCTTCATTTGAGAGATCAAACGCGTGTATGGGTCAATTCTCTGCCCATAAAAAAAAAAAAACAGCTTTGTTTGTGGTTAATGAAAAGGAAGGGACTTTACCGTGAAAGAAAAAGCCTACCGGAATCAGAAACACAAAGCGGTTCTGAGGAACAGTGTCAACATTTACTTCTAACAGAGTCACATAAAACCTTCATTTGTTCCATATCCTATAAAGCTGCAAAAGGTCACCTGTAGGAATCCCCAAACGTGGTCCCAGACAGGTGGTGCTTGTACCCGGGTGCATTCACATTGCTGCGGCCGCCCCGGTGCAGGCCTGGCCCGAGTGGTCTGAAGAGGCGCAGGGCGCAGGGGCTCTGAAGGTGAGTTCCATGCTGTTCTCCAACTTCACCGACTGTTGGTTGGCAGAGTGCAACAGAATTTTACCAATGGAAACACGTATTTGAATTTACCTTCCAGGAGAGTTTCTGGGAAGAACTTTGCTGTTATTATTTAAACTATAATAGTATAAACCTTAAAACATCTACATTATTTGTTTTATTTTGGCAAAATTAAAGCATCTTTTGGAAAAAAAAAAAAAAAAAAAGGCAATCCCAAAATACAGGGCTTTCTTAGAAAGCAACATGCATCATATCTTGAACAAGTTACCCAAACAGTTTCTCCCTCCTACAAACAGACACGATGAATCCGTGTTTCTGGGAACTTCTCTTTGTCCAAGCTGCTCCCTGAGAGGTGAGGCTAAACTTACTGGGAAGCAGGACGATGTTCACGGCTTGTACTGTGGATGCTTCTGGAACATCTTTTGCTCTGCCCACAGACAGAAGAGTAGCTACTGGCTTTCTCCAGAGATGCTTATTTTTGCCCTCAATTCAGAGTTTAATGTCCTGGGACTCTGACATTTTGGCAAGTGTTTTCTTAACCCGCAGTGCTGTCAGTCTGGAAGCAGGATTGTGAGCCCAGCATTCTGTCATGAGTTTCCCCATCTGCCTTAGACACTGTGGGAAGGAAAAGGAAAAGGAGTTAGAGAAATGTATTATCTGTAAGGCTGGCACTTGGGATTGGCACTTAGTTTTGGGTTTCTGAAGTTTGAATATATATTTTTAAAGATACTCTTAAAACCATGTAGGCGTAAAATTCCATAAAATTTCTTCTCTCATCATGCAAAGCTTAAATGATGAAAACAGATTTTCATGGCTTCCTTGTGATAGGAGCAAGCAGGTGGTTTTGCTGATCGTACAAGAGCGCCTCTGAAGTCAGATTAAACACATACAAAAATACCCAGGGAGTCTGTATTCCACTGCACACTCCCAGATTGTTTCTAACACCCGGTGAGCTCAAATCTTTTATCTAATTCCATACTATTCAAACAAACATGGTTATTCCCAAATCACAGCTGTCTGCTATAATAATAGCATCACACTGTACCATTTAACAAGATTAATGACCTGTGCACAGCCTCACTACAACTTTCTCCTGTGTTCTCCTGTGGTACATCAATTATTGGCCTTCCTGTTGAAAAGCACAATTTCACTTCATTAGAAATC